TCAGTGCATCGTGATAAGCGCTACGGTCCTTAAAATTACTTATGTATGCCTTTTCTAGTAAAAGATGCACATGCAGAATATATGTGTTGTTATGGTGCACCAGACATGCACAATAATTGCTTTCGAATTGACAATTGCACAAGTATGAACGCTGAATCTTGAGCAACATTGGTGGGGCTGGGGATGGGGTCGGCCGTTTCAAGTACCAGATTCCGTTAAGAGTGGACAAACAGACAGACCAAATTTTTGTGTCGAAGGTCCCTAAGAAAGACTATCGTCTTTAAAACTTGAAAGAGTGCCTGCGCGCGCAGAAGTCAAAGCGCAGCCGCCTGGATCGGTGTGCGTGGCGGTGTTTGAAGAATCGGCGGCCGTGGTCAAAAAATTGTTTTGTTGCGACGGTGGGTTTGCGTGGCCTTACAAACTTTAATATTTTGTGATTCGTTCCGCGCAAATTAAAAACCGTTTTCATGCTTCCGCACGTGCGCGGAAAGCATGCTGAGCCGAGTGTGAAGTGAGCGAGAACAAGTACTAAACACGAAACGAATCGCAAATTATCAGTCTGTGGGGTAGCGTACGTGCGTGCACTAGACGCAGACTAACGGATACAGTCGGTGGCCGACGATGTTGGCAAATGGTCTGGTCACTCCAGGCCGGCGACGCCAGTGACAGATCGATGGCAGTGTGAAAACACGATACAGGGTGCTCAGAGTAGCAGGGGGACAAAGGACGGAGGGGTGCGTAACAAAAAGCAGTCTTGGCATGGAGGAAGGAAACAGCTTGCCTTCCTCCATGGGTTGGGGAGAGCAGCAGCTAGAGGGTCGCGGAGGCAGGGTCGGCGTTTAACAATAAGAATGTATGGGCACCATGGGGGGTCGAAAGTGGTTTCCGGGAAGTCTGCAGACGGCTGACTCTGTTCGCTGTAACAGATCAGCGGCGCTTGGAGACGTTCGTTGTAAGTGCGATTTTGTGCCATCGAAGGATTGTATATTTTCACATTCACACGGATATTGTTTGTTTTAAGTGAAAGTTCGCTTAAGTGGGGCCGGTATGTGTGGGTTCGACTGTATACAGTACACTCTGTAAACAGAAATCTGTGAAACAGAATTGCTGTTTAAACATGAAACTGTTGCTGTCATGATTGGTTTAGTATTTGTATTCTGTACCCTTGTTCATCTCTCAGTAAATCGAATTCCTTTTAAATGCAACATATTTTGCTAGTGCCTTCAGGTTCTGTGTAATGATGGTCTGCTGTGATGTAATGGTACTGCACAGGATGGCATGGGCACAGTACTTGATACTGTCGTATTTAATTAAGTACACAAAGTTCAATGTTAACAGCTCAATGTTCTAGTTCTTTTGTGGCTATGTCTCAAGCAAGGTGGCTCATGGTGTACCCTGTGATTACAACAAAACCTTCTTAGACACCCTGCTGACTGACCGTTTGTGTCCTGCAATTATGAGGGTCTCACCATTATCTTGCTTGCTCAAAGGAACTTTGTTGTCTGTACAAGTTTGTATGTTTAAAAATTTGTTGTTTTTTCCACTGAAAACTTATTGTGCCTTCTTCCAAAACAGGATTTGGAGGGCAAGAGCCTAGTGGATGAGCTGCGACCGGAAGTGATGACAACAAATGCCAAGGCTGAACTGCCCCAGTGCATCTCCATGGCATGGTCAGCTGATGGGCAGACATTGTTTGCTGGCTACACGGACAACCTGATCAGGGTCTGGCAGGTGTCCATTGGCACCACACGCTAAGTTCCACAAACTCTGAATAAAAAAAGTCTTGTGGCATCCTGTTCGTACTACGTGCGTTGAACCTGGTGTTCCCAACTTGTGCATTATTTTGAATTATGTTAGCCGTTTTCATCCTAAGTGGAACTCACCCATACACTGCCACCTTGAGTACTGGGCCTCTGTTTAATTGTTGTAAGGGTATTAAAAAGGAATTGAATGTGCTGTATGGTAAGAGTAACTCAAGCACTTTATTAAGGGCGAATATAGGACCAGTTTTCTATTTTTTAGGTGAGGAACCACAGTCGATACCGTTTTACAAATTTTTTTTAGAAGTAATGAAATGTCAGTAGTGACATTATTGGGATTTGGTTTGATGAAGTGAGACTGACCTTTTAATTGTCTTGGCCATTGAAAGCCTTGATGATGGCAGATTCTTGACAATGAGGGCAGTGTACAGCAGTGCTTGGTTCATAGGGTAAGGTATGCAAACTTTTGGCTATGATGGTGTAAATAACCACACTGCCAGACGAGTTGCAAAAAAATAAATGTTGCAGTAACATTTGTACATATGTACAAGAAACAGCCACTGTTCATGAGCAGTATGGTGCAATTGGCTGGCATACCTAGCACCTGGAGCACAAAAAATGCTCACATGCAAATGAAACGCCCATCTCACGTCCATACTTTTTTCACTCGCACGAGCGGCGTGTTTTTGCGCATTTTTTAAAGTTTGTTTTCATGCATAATGGCGGCTTAGCCCAGCGTTGCTTGAAACACATCCGGGCTTTTTCCAGCGTTGCTAGCATTTGTGCAACTGGTGAATACGTCGGCGAAATGCCCACCTTGAGCTCAGACTTTCCCCTTATTTGCTATGCATAGACCAGTATGTTGACATGTTTTCTAGAAATAACAAGAGTGTGTGTGCATTCAGTTCATTTTGGTAGTGAAATTTCTTAATATATCATGGTTAACGTCCCAAAGCCATGATATTGCGGGAGACTAGTGGAGGGCCTGCATGCTATGCTTGTGCAACACTCTCCTTACCATTTGGTGAAAGTACGCATACTGAACTTCTAGAGAAAAGCTGGGTCTTGTTGCCTAGAGCTGTATGAACACCGTGCTTGGTACAGGATGTGGACACCGCAAGCACAAGCCACGTAAGAAAATGTTTGTAGGAGGTGAAGATCCTGTGGAGGTTTGACAAGTTGATCGTATGCACTCCTCACTGAAAGGAAAAGATTTTACTTTGCTAGTTTTGGAAATATGGCGAATAATAGAGGGTAACTTCGCGAAGCTAATTAACATTCGCTTTCATTTCCTTTAGTGTGAGTAAAACTGCTTACTAGCGCGACCAGTGGCCGATGAAGTGCGAAGGCCCTAAGGTCCTGCAAAATTTGTGACTATTGTGACCCTAAACTTTTAAAATTGGCACACGTGAAAATGTGACGTGCAATGCAGGTGTGAACAAAGTAAAAACTCCCCTGCAGTAAAAATGAAATCGGCTTTCATAAAGATGAAAAATTTAGTGCCTTGCCACTTCTGTTAATATCATCAATAAAAAAAAGTGGCAAAGAAACAAAGTAAAAAAGACGAGAATGACCAATACAGTGCTCGCAGGCAACAAACAAATCTTTCAACTCACTTTTTTTAGGCGACAAACAGAGTTTCATGCAATAATACCTAGAGACGAATCTGACGCTGCGATTGTGTACCCTCATGGGAATTATGGGAAGTACAGGCTTTGGATCGTGTTAGCCAATGAACCGTCTACGGATCTTTTTTTTTTTTTCGCAGTTTCAGTTTCGTTATTCGCGTAGAGTGGGTAGTGGGGTGGGCGCAAAGGACAAACTGCGCATTTGTTGTTCAAAGAAGCTGAAAACTGCTAGGCCTCTCAATTTACTCTAGCGCTGGTCGTGTTTGACAGTTTAGGCGAAGCGTCGTCCACTTACCGCTGCGCATAGATGTGGCGTCCCATGCCAGTGCAGGATATTACATTGAGTTCACGTTTGTTGTTAGTGCGTCTTGCTAAAACTGGTTGAAATCAACTGCAAAACGACGGCAATGCGAAGTAGACGCACCGCCACGCACTTCTTACTCGACTTCACAACAAAACGAGAGGTGTGTTGAGGGCAGACGACTTGAACAGACGCACCTGGCATCGCAGCAGACAAAACGTTAAGTGTTTCTCACTTAATACTGTGCTCCCATTTTTTTAAAAAAAGATATTGCGTACTTTAGAGGGCAAACCAAGAATGTTTGTTTTTAAATGTTCTAAGAATAAATTTATTACATCTTGATGCCAAATTTGAAACGCAATGCACACCCTGGTGGTTAAATTTGTCCAGGTTTCACTTTGACCGTTTAATCACAAAAACCGTTTGCAATAAAACTTGCGTACAAAAAATGAAGCAAGTTTCAATTTATTTTTATTTTAACTTTATACTATTTTGTTTTACACTCGGAAAAGAAGCGTCGCAAATCTCAAGGACGTGATTCACCAGAAGCAGATCCGAAGCCTGTACTTCTTCCGCTCTAGGTATTATTTTATGAAACTCTATGGCGACAAACAATAATATTTAATCAATAGTGAAAACTATGTGAAAACAGTCGCTCGTGTTTAGTCTGGCGTCTGTGGAGTGTCCAGATTTAGCGGTTCGGCGTCCTAGCGTTGCTAACGTTAGGACCGGTTTCATCGGATGACGATTGGGACTTCTGTGGTTTCCAGCTGGTTTCCAGTTTCGCCGTGGTTTCAACTTGAACGTTACGTGCTCCATTTTTTTTTTTTTTTCGTGTAGCATCAGGTAACCTGTGTTACAAAGACCCGGACCAAGTGACTTTACTGCGCCACTGAAGTGTTGTAGCTTTCAGCGCTTCCAGACGTAGGCATAACTGCAGTCGCTCCATCACTGCATCCCCTGCCGCATCTGTTGCCATGCAGTCTGTAGCTCCTAATACATCGTGCAAAAGAACTGTTTCGCTCTTGGAAGGCGTCACTCGGACGACACTGTCGACTCTAGCTGCTGGGTCTTTATCTTACTGTGTTGTTCACATTGGTCAGCAGCTGCTTCGAGTGCAGTACGGCAAAAAGTACCAAGTGCTAGTTCCAGCTCTACTTGGTGCCACTGTTGCAGCCTACACGACGGCGACGAAAATCCGGGAATATAAACTGCTATGACCTGGTTACAGCTGGCTGTGGACGATCGCAGATGGCCCTTGATCGGCGCAACCGTTCACGAACCTCTACTAATGTTTGCACACACGTGACCTCACGTACAAAGGTTGTACTTTATTATTTTTATTAAAAATTAATCAAACATTTCAGACGGAATGCCCGAGGAGAAGATTGAGCTGTTGGTGTGGCTTGGCTAATGTAGTGCTTCCAACGATGACCTATGGAAACAGAAATAAAGCATTAAATGGACGGAAAACTGTACTTCAAATGGCATATATTGCTGTCTGAGGGGCGATTCACAGGGTGGATTAGTGGAAAAGAAAAAGGAACTCTCGTATGGGTGACATTGGAGCCGTGGTGTGACCATGTGGCATTCACATGGTCGACCCCCTGTGTGCCACCCCGCCACAATGGTCTAGTGGCTAAGGTTCTCGGCTGCAGACCCGCAGGTCGCGGGATCAAATCCTGGCTGTGGCGGCTGCATTTCCCATGGAGGCGGAAATGTTGTAGGCCCTAGTAGTCGTGTACCGTTCGTTTTCCCTGCGCCTCCTCTCCGAGCCGCGTCAAAGAATTCCAGGTGGTCTAAATTTCCGGAGCCCTCCACTACGGAGTCTCTCATAATAATATGGTGGTTTTGGGACGTTAAACCTCACAAATCAATCCCTCCCCCCCCCCCCCCCCCCCCGCTTGAACACACTTAATACCGACTAGACTTAATAAAATATATGCAATAGCATCTTTGCAGAATGATAAAAAATTGCACAGTTGGCGCTTCCCTACACCCGAAACTACAATGATTTATGAGTAGTGGGTATCTTGCAACTGTACTTTTGTTTTTTTGAACCAGGGCTACACCCTGGTTAAACCAGACACATGCCCCTCCCAAAGTACCCTGCATGAGGGGACACACCTGCCTGCCAAGCACCCACATTGCATTCAAGAGCATGCCTTTCGTGCAAACCACTTTCGTGCCACGTTACTTGGAAGTTACCAAGTATTTTCAGAAAACTGACACTTCGTATTTCTGGTACATTATGTGCCCTCTGGCGACAATGCATACTAAGCAACTGCCAAGTAAAATTGCTTTTTCCTATCTAAATACTTGTACATACCTGTTGAGTCAATTTTCTTGATGATGTGATGTCATTCACAAGCTTCACTTCAGAAGCTGTTACGCCACCGATAATGAAGACGATAAGCACTGGACTATCCCTTGGCAGCGGCTTGCTCGTGCTTCTGAAAAGTCTGAATGCACGAGAATGCATTTAAAATGGAGCATATCAAATGTGCATATGTGATTGGCAGTGTGTCATTGCATACTCTTGTTCCACTGTCACACATACTTTCATTCATAATGAAGCCTGCTGTGTTTACCAACTGCAACAAGTTCAATTTCTATCTATGTAACACATCAGTATGTATTGAGCTCAGTTTATTGGGGATATGTTGAACAATTAACCCTGAAGACTAAAAACATGCATCAGCATAATTGTGGCTTCTCGGGCAAGGTGGCATTTTCGTGAGTGCTACCCTTGAGGATGCCTAGTAAACAGCACCAAAATTTTCTGAATCAAGTCCATACGTCATTCTGCACTGTACATATTATAACAAGCTTTTTTTCATCAGTCTATCACATCAGAAAGCAGGAGACATGAGTCGTTACGGTTTGTTGCACTATTTGCCACATGAAAAACAAAACCTACAGTAAAGTTGTAGTATAAACAACTTCAAGAGATTGCAACCAATCTGACAACCAAATGAGAATGATGGTTACACAAGTGTGCCCTACATAAGAAGCACTCCTTGAAAGGTCATTGACCACAGTGCTATGTGGAGTGCACATTTCCACTACAGGAGATGCACTGCGAAGCTAAATAAGCAAGAAAAGAAAGGAGACAGAGCTCGATAAATAAATGAACAAAGAAAAAGGAAGGCATGGTTCATTATGGAACATGATGCTTAAGAGAGTAAAGGAAAGATACACTGCTCTTGCGGATACCAGCCAAGGCAATGCAGACAGTCGATAGACCCCCTGGGTCGAACAGCAGTGGTCAAGCAGGGGCCACTTTCAATGAAGGAGGTACTGAATTCAATTGTCAGTACTGCCCAGCACCCAGCAGTTTTTTGATGGAGAGACAGGTACCTGAATCTGGTGCTCCCTTATGGGTGGCAAAAATAAGGATCTTTTCTGAAGGCATGGTAGCGTGGCAGCTCAGTTTCTTCTAACTCCCGCATGAATGAATTGATCGGAAAAATGTTTGCTGTACTGCGTATGACAAATTCTAGCTCACAACAGGAATTTGGAACGAGGCTGGTGAGAGTCCCTTTATTACACGAGTGTTGGTGCTTGCAGTGCAAGCAATATTTTCTGTTGTCACACTTGCCGATCTCAGCTGTCTGTCCCTTAGGTGTATGATTGTGGCACGTTATCATTTGCACTTTCTCTTCATACCTGTGCAGTCTGTAAGAGAGCTGTTTCTTTGACTACAGGCCAGTCAGGGAAAGGTGAAGGATCATTTGAGAAGAGTCATTCTAGAATTCTTGAAATGTCTCTGACTCGATTAGATGTGGTACATAGCTTTCATTTGGAAAAAGTACGCTGTGTAGCTATGACCAACATTGCTAGCAAAATGCCTCGTAAAGCAATTTCATGCTCATCAACTATAAGACACACACCTAGCAATTCACCGTGTGAAGGACTACAGAATGCATCTGAATCATACAGGACCAGAAGAGTGAAGTGCCTTGATATTGCAGCAAGCTCTTGCCACTGCGTGTTTTCACACTGTGCCCTCCACGTATCGCGAACTGTGATACTCGACAATGATGGCGGTTATTATTATAGCAGAATGAAGCCTCATTTGAAAATTGGCAGTGATGCAGACACAGAATAAGGGGGCTGTAGACTAAACTCACAGGGTGCCAATGATGTTGGCAATAAGCATAGGCATGGAGGGAGGCAATTATTTTTTCCACCCTCAATGTTTATGGTTTTTTTTTGAATGATAGCACTAGTTTACAGCTGGTCAACCTGCATCAACAATGGCGGCAAAACTGAAAATCAGCTACTGCTTGTTTTCCTCTGGGAACAAATCCCAGAGATGTCAAATGTCAAGTTCATGTCTTTTGTACAATGTGTACTGCCAGTGAGAAATCACTAGTGATAGCAATGATACGATGAACATTTTTTACTGCCTGTCGGTTGTTAAGAGTCGCAGAGAATGTGGAGCGCAGACAGATGCATCACGTGTTGTACACCACAGGATTGTTTCCTCATGTGACATGCCAGTCCTTTATAAGCTGCATGAACACTAGGATTTCTCTACTGAAGGGCAGCTGCAACAAGCGAGTTCTTTCAAGGAGGGAAGGGACGTGGGGAACTTATGTGTTGTGCTTTGAATGAATTTGCTTTTGAAGGGACAACGGTGAGGCAGCCAAGAATTTGGGGGACGCTGTTAACCCTCCGCACCCAATGCCACCCTTCTCCGGCACTTCCCTGGATTCAAAGGGACCCAAGAACAATTTCTCGCCGTGGTCAGAAAATGTTGATCGGTAGTGGAGGCTTCTGAGAACACGCGAGCCAAACATTACAACACAGCACACTACATGGAATTTACAATAAATTTTTAGTCCAACTAAAAATATTTCCATCTGCTTTCAACAAATGATGCCATATGCCCAAATGATCACGCCATATGCCCAAATTCTTGGGCATCGGCTGAGTATCATGAGCTGCACAGAGGTTGTTGTGGGAGGTTGCCATGTGTCCGTATGTGCACTCGTGATCACATTGAAAGAAAGTGCATTCTATGAAAAAAAGAAAAAAAGTGCTATAGGTGATGATGCGCACGTGACAGCTTCTTTCTCCTGTGCCATTCCTCCCTGCTTACCTGCCAGCGCATTAGTCGGGACGAGAGAAAGGAAAGCTATCACGGTGTGCAACACATTTTTGTAATTTTCCTCGTACTAGACAAATTCTAAAAATTTGTGCACCTGTCGATTTGTGAGGCAATAAACTTCTTTGGTGAAGCAATTTGGTGGTTACTTGGAAAAGTGTGACAGGGTTTCTTTAACCGTGAGCAGTCCACTTCACATGCAATGTTTAAAGCATATCTCCGCTTTGAGAGAAAAAAAAGCATATTTTGGAGGAAAAAAAAGAAAAAACTTTTTTGTCTAGAGAAAACAACCAGAATCAGAAGAGCGTTAATTTGTCCTAAATATTTAAGTTGGTGTCACACATCATTCCATTCAGTTAGTCTAATATTATTAGAGGCAGGACGGGAACAGCATCTCCAATTTTCATTGCTCTAAATAAGAAGGTCAACATACATGGCCTCTTGTGGGAGATGGGATGAGGCATTTTGTGTATGAAAAATAACAGAACAGACATAGTAGTACTCGGATCCCCTGATATTCAGAAAAAGGTGGCCTTTTTATCTTGTTTAGATGCCTTGTACTGGTCGTAAACAAATGACTAGACAAGCATGCAGAGAGAAATAGAAGCCATTCACTTCACAAAACACAAAACTATGCACGAGCTGATGCAAATTAATGCAGATTTGTCACGCATTGATGCCTTGCTATAGTTGCTTGGTGTTTCAGCAAGTAGCCATCCTATAGTCTCACTTTCACTTTTACCACGGGTGCAAAATATGCAGATCACGAAAGCTAAAAAAAAAGTGCACCAGTGGCAATCATGTGATTTTCAAGGTATTCTGCAAGCATGCACCGATCTTTTGCAGGATTTGTTGAGCATGACTTTGCTTTTAGTTTTACTATAGTATGTTATATGACATAAGTGCAAGCTCATCAAAAAATTTTTTTAAAGAATAAAAGCCCTTGTTAAAAGCACACTGGCACAATGTGTACCACTCATTGTGTGAGCGAAATTGAAACAAAGGACGAGTGCACCAGGAGTTCGCGTAGTCGCACCTCAAGGTTATGTTATTTGGTGAGTCGTGGGGCATGCAATATCCCACAGCATGCCATCCAGTGGGCCAAGTTTGCACGAGGTGCTGTTTACTTAGGTTCGTATATGACTTATGTTTGTCACCCAAAAGCGTAAAGAAATGATCACTGGCTAAAACTGATTGTGGCTTCAAATTAAACAACAAGGGCCTGTTTTCAAACCAATAATACATAGAACGGTCAAAGGTTTTCACACTTTTGTTTTGTGGCGTGCCTTTTGCCATGTGAGAATTTTCAGTGGTCCCTAAAATGGTCTTTTCAAAGTTAAATATAAAACAGTTGGGCAACAAATAGGGTAAATTGTTTTTACGAAAAAATACAAAGTACCTCGTATTCAAGACAGCTACGGGCATTTAAAAGTTACCAACTTCCAAAGTCATCATTTTCCTCCTCAACTTCCTCAACCAAAGATTGAGGTCATGTACCACCTCCCGAACATCTTGAAGACCAACCTTAAATGTTTAAGAAGTATAATGAAACTAGTTAACACCAGTAAAGTGTCATTGCTTGCACCCACCGGCAATCCTGTTCCCGACCATCTTTGTGATACTGTACTAAACAACACATTCATTAGGTTGTCTTCTTCATCTAACGATACCCAGTGCCCTCAGCTTCAATCATACAATCATTATGCAATGGATCTCATCTCGTTTGACTGGCATGGCATCGTCACGATTATCGGTAACCTGAAACTAATGTCTTCTCACGGTATTGATGGGATTATTAGCATACTCTTAAAGAACACCAAAGGATACAGTTCTATTATATTGAAATGCATATCAGGACAGTGTACTACCTGAAGACTGAAGAATTGCTGCCATTATTCCTGTACATAAAAGCGACGATAAACATAATCCACTGAACTATCATCCCATATTTTTTGCACATGTATATCATATAAAGTAATGAAAATTATAATATTTTCTCATTTTAATAATTTTCTTGAAGATAATACCTTCTTCTCTTCAACTCAGCATGGATTTCAAAAGTATTTTTCGTGTGATACTAAACTTATTTTTCTTTACTAATTATTTGCATTTCTGTTTGGACTTCGCTTTTAGAACTGACTATATATTTGCTGATTTTGTTAAAGCATTTGATAAAGTTAACCATTGACTGCTTTCATATAAACTAAGTGTACTAAAAATTGATCTGGAAGTTCTTAATGTGATTTGTACATTTCTTTCTAAAAGTGTTCAATTCGTTAGCACTAACGATGTTAATTTTTCCACTGCACCAGTTAGTTCTGGTGTCCCTCAAGGATCAGTACTTGGCCCTCTGCTATTCCTTATTTATATAATTGACTTGCCCACTAGCATTACTTTCAGAACTTGTTTATTCACTGATGAGTGTATAATTGATTGTAAAATATCTAATGACAATGATATTAATTCTCTGCAGTCTTATCTCAATAACATACTTCATTGGTGTCATGTTTGTAAACTGGAACTAGAAATTAAGAAGTGCAAGTCTATTAGCATTTCTTACACGAATACAACTTGTCCAACTGACTTTCTTCTTAGTAACCCCCTTAAAACTGTAACATCTTACCAATACCTTGGAGTCCACATAACTAACACTCTGTCCTGGAAATTTCATATGGAATGTGTAACCCCCAAAGCTAATTAAACACTGGGTTACCTTCAAAGAAAGTTCTTTCTTGCTACATCATCACTAAAGTAGGTAATTACTATATACTACATACGCCTATCCTAGAATGTAATACACTTCATCTGTTTGGAATTCTGATCAGGAAACATTATCTCACATGTTAGAATCCATTCAAAATGGTGCAGATCATTTCATTATGGCTAATTACTATCATTAAGCTAGTGTAATTCAATTGAAGACATCTTTAAACCTCATCTCGCTAGCTACCTGCCAAAAGCACACTCAGATTTGCCTTATTCATAAATTTTTTAAATGCGAATGCATTTCTTAGTTGGGCTATGCCAAGCATTCGTCGGTATCCGTCCACCGCCCTCTCCCATAGCAACAGAAGCGGGCGTGCGTGCTTATTCTCGCCTCTAGCAACCAGAGCATGTGGTGCGAGAGTGCAGCAAGAGGGTAGGTGCAGTGCTTCGCCACTCCTTCTCTCATTGTTCGCTCTCTCTCCTCTCTGCGCCCCACTTTCCCCTCTGCTCGCACCTCACTCTCGATCCTTCGCTGGCTGGGCGCCTCTCAAGAACATCCGGAAATGTGTGCTCGAGACGCCGCTGTGGAATGCCAATGCCGAGCCGAGAACGCAGTTTGTTTTGTTCACTTCATAGTATTTTCAACCGTGCACGCTAGCTACTATAGCTGGAAATGCATGCCGCGTTTGTCGCGACAGAAAAATGCCACATGCGTCAAATGCCGCTATTGGCTGCAAGGTGTATGAAAAAAAAAGAAAACACCATTCTTCTAACGCTGGGTTCTCACGTTCAAAATGCTGTTATAGATGCTACGCAACGCATTCGCATTTACTCACGCATTCGAATTTCCTCACGATTTCCATTCGAAGAGGTGGGGGCATTTTTTATCATAATCTGATACTTTGCAATTAATCCAACCCGCTCCCTTCATTTCTCACAGCCGTAATCACCAACAAAAGGAACAGTCCCCCATTACAACACAGTCACATATGCCCGATCATATCTCCGGAGAACTTGTAATGATTGGAATTCTCTGCCTGCACCGTTAACAAGCATCACTGACTCTATTCAATTTAATAATATTCTTAAAACAATCATTGTGTAATTAACATGAGTGATGTTTTATTTAACTCTTAATTAACTTTGCCTTTATCATCTAACAAAAATAAAATTATTGTTCATCACTTGCTTTTTTTAATGTTTTATAATGTTGTTGGCAGTATTCATTTTTTTTGCCTCATAATAAGCAGCTATATTTGCGTAAAATGTGCTTTGTGTTCTTTGTTTTTTATTGCTGTGCATTGTCCTTCTACCGCTGAAATGTACTAGTATATACCCCGAGGGTAAAATTAAAAATCTGCTGGTACACAGATAATCACAAATGGGTCATTCCATGCCAAACGTCTCTTGCCATTTTGGTGATCATCTCAAATATATTTGAAAAAAATCGTGTTGATTTAATGCATTGAAAACAGTGAACTGGTAGAATATTTCAGAGAGAAAAAAACTTTTTGGTCCAGTGGCTGCCTTCTGAACTTCCCAGAATGTTGTCTGGGTGTTTCTTGTGAAAAATTCATTTTTTAGAAGTGTAAATTTTTTTCTATACCGAATTTAGTGTATATGTTATTAAAGGTGCTTCTGTAAGTTATTTAAAGCTCAGTAATATTAGTGCAATTTTTCTGCCACATACGCCTCCAAAAATTTTGCCAAAATGTGTTTGCATTTTTTCTATTGTAATACTGCGTTTTGTATACATATCTGAGCAGTGTGAACACTTACTCCATAGTAGGTGTACTTTGAGAAAATAAAAGTATGTTTAGACCTCTCAAGCTGTTAAACTTTACGAGAAAAAATCATGAATTTCACAATATCGTCATTTTTGTTCATATTGAGATGCAATTTGCACCATGTGGTGGTCTAATTAAAAATCACCTTTATACCTCAATCGAGAGAAAATTAACAGTTGTTTTTATATGGCAAGTTTTATCATTACAACCTTTTTTTAAAGAAGAAAATAATTTTTTAACTTTCCCACTGATGGCAATAGAGAATTTTAAGGTGGCAGCTGTTGTATGACCAAATGGGAAGATGACCGTCAATGGCAAACTTCAAAAACTTATTTTCTAGACATTATCTCACCCAGTAACCTGATAATCCACAAACACCTAACAGTTTGAGGAGAAACTAAACCTCTCTCACAACAATCAGCGGTAAGCATGAATACAAAAATATTTATGGTAATAGTTCTCTGGCATATAGTGACAGCCAGAGACATGGAGATCTTGGCATAAAACGGATACCGAGATCCCCATGCACAATGTAGTAATGTGCTGCAGACACTACATTCGCTGTAAGCCTTACACAGGCACATGGTGTCACAGTATGACAAGCAGCCAATTATTAGGTTTATAGCCAACAATGTACCAAAGGTAATTCATTGTGCATGAGATAGGAACCTGAAAATCAACGCTTATTGTCAGCATGGAGCACATAACAGAATCACTGACTGTGTGCGTGAAATTCCAGGGTATTAGTAGTAAATGAAGATTACATACCTAAACGTATTTCTATTCTTTTACGGTTTTTAAACATGACAAATAGCAGTGTTTTGAGTATTAAGGGGTGACGTCTCAAAATGCTGCAGTTTTAAGAAAAATTTTCACTGCACTGGCCATGCAAACTACATTCACACAAAGAATAAGCAAAAATGAACATGGAATTACATCAGCCTTGGCTAAATAGCATCAGCCTTGTCTACATGAGTGCACAATTCATCATCCTACGCTATTGGCTCTCAAAACTTTCAAACAAATGGGTTGCGAGTAACCAGTGCATTGGATGGCAAGACTAGGCTGACATTTCACAGTGTAAGCAGAGGGTTGGATTACCCGAATCCCGCTTTCAACATATTGCTGAGCCCTCCCGAGTGGTAGTCAAGCTGCGGTGCCTCTGACACGTTGGGGTCAAAAATGTCTTCAAGCACTTGCTTCAGCAAGGGCTTGTACACTGCTGGCTGCATCAGGTTGCCCTCTTCGAGAATGCTCCTGCACGAGAGAAACCCTTAGAAAATTTGTCAGGTGTTTCTTTTCAAGAAACAGCTTATCCCAGCCTGTAGCAGCAACTTGCAAACATGTCCTCAATCACCTTTTCTCTGAAACTGAGCAGTGCATTCGAATGAGTGTGACATCTTTGAAGAAGCATTTTTTAAATACTTTGGGAATCACACACTGTGCTTTCCTTGAATTCATAGACCACCTCTATTGAAGAGGAGAAGTTTCTTTAATCTGTAGCTTATGGCGACGGTATTTTAGCTGTTTACATAGTATTTTTATGCTGATTTCAAATATATAATCAGTTTTATAGTCAGCTACATGGTTTTTATTTTAAACCATGACAATATGTAAAGTATAGCTAGCTCTTCTTAGACGCATGTTTTGTATCACTAGTCTTTTATGGTCATGAGCCAATAATGGCTTATATTGCTCTACACTAACTACCAAATGCAAATGACTCAAAAGAAAGTGTGTATAAAACATCTTAATGAACTAGAAAAATCGTAATATGGGAAGCCTCAAAATACTCAGTACATACTCATTGCTTACTTTAGGTTCATAACAATTATTCCAGATAGAATGACCACATTCTATCTTGTTCATCACTCCTATTCATCAGTAGTCTATGAGACAGGATTAACATGATAAAAAGAAATACATATCGGTGATTTCTCTGAAAAGCTGAGAGTAAAAGCACCAGTATTAACACACGTGCTGTTTGCTTAGTGTTCATAATTAGATGACAGAAAAAAAAAGTGATTGGAACTCGTCCTTGCTGACATGGTTTGCCAGTGAAGTTGTTGAACACCCTGGCAAAATGTATCACAAAGTGAATTCAGCTTTTTGGCAGTGTTTACACTTGCGCTTGGTTTAATGGTGAGAACAGCTTGTTTCTTGCCTAGCTTGGTGTGTGTGCTTAGCAATCTCCCTGAACAGGACATATATACATACCACAAAATACACATACCACAATGTTTGTTTGCCTTAATGTTGCTACTATTTTGGCTGCTTTGCACAACTGTTGTTGAAATAGTGATGTTTGCATATATCTATGACATTGATGACAACCTTTACTCCTAATTATACTACTAATGCAATCTTTATTGCACATTTCAAATTTCCTCACGCATACATGTACCGTCTGCTCTTTTTTTTCTGTGTGCATTTTCTACTTCTTGCTTTCTCCTGTGTGCGTTTAGTTACAGTTTACATACTGATAATATGTCTGTGGATACTAGAGTAAGAGTAAGGATGTGCATCTTTGTCGCACCACACATGCCAGCCACTATCAAGCACACGCACAAAGGTCTTAAACTGTTCTGCATTTCACCCCCATATCGGCAAAGGGGTCAACGCCACGTAAAGGTTCATCTGGGCATTACACTATCTCTAGGGTCAAGTCACATTCTAAGCCGATTGAGGACAATGAATAATCATGCTGAAAATTCGAAGCGATCTACCACTAATAGTGTTGCTATAAAAGAAAGCTTTCATGGTATGAATAATGGCTATATCGACACTCATCTTATGCAGAAAAGCCACGAATTCGAAAATGTGAAAATGATCATGTGACTAATGCAACCGAGTTCTGTGGAATCCTGCGAGGTGGCTTCATGCTACAAATAGAAAGTTGTCTATTTTCATTTTTTTTAACTCTGTCGCCCCTTGCGAGATTCCACAAAAGTAATTTGCATTACTATGTGTCCACGTGTTTTGAGTTGTCAATGAATCTGCCCTCGCGCTGCTAACTGCTAGCTCCCTGGTTAGCTCGATTGGCAGAGTCACTGACCCGGAAAAGTGCTAGTCCTGGTTTTAAACCCTGAACCAGAGCAAATTTTACAGCCACTAAAACGCTTTCTTTCTGAAAAATCCATATGGATTTCCTTGTGGCTTCGTGCTACTAATGGGTGATTGTCTATTTTCTCTTTCTTGATAATGTGACTATAGTTCTGATTTTTTTAATAAATTATTGTTTGCAGGAAGCAAATGAAATTTCTGTAAAATTTTCCCACCAACTAACTTGTTACAATTATGTTTCATGGTAAGTAATGTGAACGAAAAACCCCAGGTGGCAATAAAGATTTCACATAATTAAGAGTCAGCTACTTTCCAAACGTGTCGTGTCGACTTATCGTTGTGTATGTGTGTGGTGCCGAGAGTCGTCAGGGTCTATCAATTCAAGCTGACGCTATGCAATGAGTGATGCAAACATGTCATTACTTTCATACGAAGTTTCTTGCCTTTCGCCGCTCTCTAGAACTAGAATTAATTCCCTCCTTACCTTTTCATCTACTATTCAACGTTACTAGGCTAGCCATAGATGTAATAAATAGTACGTATATCTGACTCCCAACTGAAGACCAATGTCTACTACTATATCTATTTACCATAGTTTTAATTACTACTCCGAAACGCCAACAAAATAGGACACAGCCTTAAAGGTGAACTGCTGCGATTTTTCGACCACTTGAAAATAATGGCACTTTTACGTTCGTGAGACACCTTTGCTACGCGCCATATAGCTCAAATGCTCAATAAATTTGAAAATAATTTTTAATTAGCAAAAAACCGCAATACGGAAACCGAAATCTAACCGAGTGCACTTCTACGTGAGACATAATCCTTTTCCGAACCTGCCTGGTTGTGCATAAACGCCGCCAGATGACACTACCGGTCCGGGCAGTCCAACTTCATGCCTGCGGCATTCGGCTAAAACGCTTCCGCTGTTATGATTATTATATGGCGAATCGCATGCGGCCCATAGCGCAACGCCACTTGCCACATATCGCATGCCCACTAACACGAAAAATGAAATCGCACGCTCAACAAAGGAAGCGCCGGCCGAACCCACACAATCCATAGCAGACAAGGACATTGCAGTGGCACATCAGTTCTGTCACTTCCACCAGGCAAAAATCAACGTCACACACACAATGTTGCCATTAATTCTGGCAAGCGAGGTGAGCGTTTGGAGGCAATATATAAAACTCGTTTTAAAAGAATTTGTGAAACTTTGAAGCCTGCAATTTGGCATGAATGACGGAAATGTGCAAATGAACTTACCCAGTGAATTTCACTGAGATCCACTGACCTAGAAAAATCACTAGAGTAAGCCTTTAAAGGCAGCGGCAGTCTATTCTTTAGCAGTTAAAAACTTCTCATGTCCACTTTTCTTGCACTCCAACCACTCGAGATTTATATGCTCAATGTAACAATCACATAGAGGTAGCCGATTAGTTCGCAAAACAGGAGCGCACAACCCGTCAGTAGACTGGAAACGTCAAAGTAGGAGTGCGACCACTCGAAATCAGCAAAACTCCGACATTGCGGACACTTTTAAGCCAAAAATGTCAAAATGGAGCGAGATAGGAAGACGTTAGGAGAGAATAAACGCTTTAGAAGAAGGGTCAACCAAGGCGCTAAGCCAGCCTAAGTTAGCAAGGTCAAACGTTCGAAACCGTGTTGGTATCTTTTTTTTAAAGGAAGAATAAACTTAAACAGCTAAGAAAAAGCCAGGTGAGCTAGGAGTCATGTGAAGTTGAGAGATGATAGGTGGTTAGGTGGTATTCTACATTGCTAAGAAAGTGCAACAGGGCCCCCTGCTTAGAGCTTGTACAGCAGCCTAGCATGCAATGACAAAATTAGGTTCGTATGCAGATGCTGGACCATTCCCAATCATATATTTACTTAAAACAGGTGATGAAAAAATCATAAAAAATAAAAAAGGACAAAAAAAAAGAAGAGGTCTGGGGTGCGGCCTCACTGGCTACCACCTGCCGGTAATGGACTCCCTAACCAGAGCAGGATTGGCTACCCTGGTGCTGGTGCAGTACTTGGCCACGACCTTATGAACGGACCAATTAACCCTTGGCCCTAAACCCTCAGCAGCTGTGGAGCAACTGTCCAAGGCGGCTGTTAGACCTGCAACGCAGCGAAGGGTGCTAAGAATCTCTGGGACCGGACAGACTGCCATTGGAATTTGAACTTGGCTACGTTCAATGCTAGAATGCTATCTAGTGATGCTAGTCTAGCTGTGCTATTCGAGGAATTTAAGGGTGTTAAATGGGATGTAATAGGGCCCAGCAGAATTAGGAGGACACGTGAGGCTTATACAGTGCTGAAGAATGGACACGTCCTATGCTATCGTGGATTAGTTGACATAAAAAAAGTGGGAGTAAGGTTTTTCATACACAAGAATATCCCTGGCAACATAGAATACTATAGCATCAGTGAGAGGGTGATAAGTATCATAATTAAGTTTAATAAAAGCTACAAGATGAAGGTGGTACAGGCCTATCTGCCTACATCGAGCCATGATGATCATTTGGTTGAATGCTTCTAGAAAGATTTAGAGTCAGTCATTAATAAAGTAAAGTCACAGTATACTGTTGGGTCATTCCATGCCAAACATCCCAGCCATTTTGGCAAACTTCTCAAATGTATTTGAAAAAAATTGTGCTGATATACTAAATTGAAAACAGTGAAACGGTAGAATATTTCTGAAAGAAAAAAAATGTTTTGGTCACGTGGCTGCTTTCTGAACTTCCCGGAATGCCGTTTGGGTGTTGTTTGTGTAAAAATGTATTTTAAATGTACCGCTTCTTCTTTCTATATCAAATTTGGTCTAAATGTTAAGTAGAGGTTCTTGTGTATAAGGTGTTTGAAGCTCAGTAATATTACTGTAATTTTACTGGGACATACGTCTCCAAAAATTTAGCCAAAGTGCGTTATGTTTGCATTTTTTCTATTGAAATTCTGCACCTTGTAAGAATATCTGAATAGTAAATACTTACTTCCCAGAAGAAATATCTTGACAAAAAAAATATTTTCAGACCTCTCAATCAGCTAAGCTTCACGAGAAAAAATCGTGAATTTCTCAAAATCGTCATTTTTGTTTATATTGAGACACAATTTACACCATGTGATTGTCTAATTAAAGATCCCCTTTATACTTAAATCAAAAGCAAACAAACAGTTATTTTGATATGGCAAATCTTACCATTACATGTTTTGTTTTAAGGAAGAAAAAATATTTTTGAACTTTCCCATTAGCGCCTATCTTCCCATTGGGTCGTACGACAGCTGCCGCCTTGAAATTTCTTGTTGCCGTGAGTAGGAAAGTTCAAAAATCATTTTTTCATTAAAAGAAAAAATATAGTGATAAGATTTGCTATATGAAAATAACTGTCTATTTGCTTTCAATTTAAGTATAAAGGTGATTTTTAATTGGACCATTACATGGTGTAAATTGCGTCTTAATATGGACAAAAATGATGCTTTTGAGAAATTAATAATTTTTTCTCGTAAAGTTTAGCAGGTTGAGAGGTCTTTCATATCTCGGAAATTTCTACCATTTCACTGTTTTCAATGCAACAAATCAGCACTTTTTTTTTCAAGTACATTTGAGATGGTCGCCAAAATGGCTGGGACGTTTGGCGTACAATGACCCTATTCTGATGGGCAACTTTAATGCCAAAGCAGGCAAAAAACAGGCCAGAGAACATGCAGTGGGGGAATATGGGATCGACTCTGGAAATGCCAGAGGGGAGTTATATGTAGGGTTCGCAGAATATAATAACTCATGACTCTTGAATACCTTCTTCAGAAAACGGGCTAACTGTAAGTGGACATAATGAAATCTTAATTGCTAAACTAAAAATAAAATAGACTTCATTCTGTGTGCACACCCAGGCATTGTACAGGATGTAGAAGTAGTTGGCAAGATTTGATGCGGTGATCATAGAATGGTAAAAGCTTGTATTCACCTAGATTTAAAAAAGCAAAGGTGTAAACTGATACCCAAGAATGATATCTGGGGTTTAACGTCCCAAAACCACTATATGATTATGAGAGACGCCGTAGTGGAGGGCTCCGGAAATTTAGACCACCTGGGGTTCTTTAACGTGCACCCAAATCTGAGCACATGGGCCTACGACATTTCCGCCTCCATCGGAAATGCAGCCGCCGCAGCCGGGATTCGAACCCGCGCCCTGCGGATCAGCAGCCGAGTACCTTAGTCACTAGACCACCGCGGCGGGGCTGATATCCAAGAAGCCAATTAATGAGCTAGCTGTGAAAATGAAACTACACGAATTCAGAGTTTCACTTCAGAATAGATTCAATGCTCTAAAAGAGATAACCAGCATTAGCATTGACACAATGAACGATAATCTTTACTAGTATCATCAAAGAGGGTGCAATTGAAGTCGGAGGTACAGTCACTAGACAGGACACTGGAAAACTGTCTCAGGAGACAAAAAATCTTATTAACAGGTGACAAACCATGAAAGTCTCAAATGTAGCCGACAAAATAGAGCTAGTGGAGCTTTCAAAGTTAATCAATAGGCGTAAGGTAGCTGACATGAGAAGGTATAACATGGGGAGAATCGAGCAGGCTGTAAAAAGCGGCAGAAGGCTAAAATCTGCGAAAGAAAACTTGCTTACAGGCAAAAATTGGATGCCTGCATTAAGGGGCAAGGAAGGCAATGTTATAACCAATATGAATAGCATGGTTGAGGTCATAAACCAGTTCTACAGAGAGCTGTACAGAAGCCAAAACAATAATAATAGCCCAGATGAATTCAACGTCCTACCAATAACAACAGGGGAAGTAACGAATGCCCTAGAAAAAATGCAAAGAGGCAAAGCCGCTGGTGAGGATAAAGCAACAACGGAACTACTGAAAGATGGAAAAATTGCATTAGAAAAACTGGCCACCTTACAAAGTGTCTCTTGACGGGAAGGGCACCAGAACCTTGGAAGAATGTCAACATCATATTAATCCATAAAGAAAGAGACATCAAGGACTTGAAAAAATACAGGCCGATCAGCGCACTGTCCGTTCTCCACAAACTATTTACATACATTATAGTTTGATCAATCGCAGGACCAAGCAGGATTTCATACAGGTTACTCTACAATATACCATATTCATACTATCAATCAAGTAATAGAGAAATGCATAGAATACAACCGACCCTTATACATAGCTTTCATAGTTTATGAGAAGGCATTTGACTCAGTCAAGACATCGGCAGTAATGCAGGCACTTCGAAATCAGGGCATCGATGAACCCTACATAAACATACTAGAAGAAATATACAGTGGCTCCATAGCCACCATAGTTCTCCATAAAGAAAGCGACAGAATCACAATAAAGAAGGGTGTAAAGGAGGGAGACACGATCTCTCCAACGCCGTTCACCGAGTGCTTACAAAAGGTCTTCAGGGCCCTAAATTGGGAAGAGTTAGAGATAAGAGTTAATGGAGAATATCTTAGTTACCTGCAATTCGCTGATGGCATTGCCTTGATGAGTAACTCAGGGGATGCATTACTGCTCAGGATTACTAAACTGGACACAGAATGCGGAAGAGGAGGTCTGCAAATTAATATGCAGAAGAGGAAGTCTGCAAATTAATATGTACAAAACTAATGTGCAACAGTCTCAACAGAAAACAGCACTTTGCAATAGGTGGAGAGACGCTGGAAGTTGTAAAGGAATATGTCTACTTAGGACAAGTGATAACCGCAGAGCCAAACCATGTGAGTGAAATAACTAGAAGAATAGGGATGGGGTGGATCACATTCGGAAAGCATTCTCAGATCAAGAATGGTAGTCTGCCACTAACCCTAAAAAGGAAGGTACATAACAGCAGCATCTTGCCGGTAATTACCTACGAAGGAGGAACCTGGAGGCTTACGAAGAGGGTTCAGCTTAAATTGAGGACGCCGCAGCGAGCGATGGAAAGGAAAATGATAGGTGTAACCTTAAGAGACAAGAAGAGAGCAGAGTGGGTCAGGGAACAAACCGGGATGAAGGATATCATAGCTGAAATTGAGAAGAAGAAGTGGATATGGGCGCGGCACGTAACACGCAGGCAGGATAACCAGTGATCCTTTAGGGTAACTGACTGGATTTGCAGAGAAGGCATACGCACGAATGGGAGACAGAAAGTTAGGTGGGCGGATGAGATGAAAACGTTCGCAGGTATAACGTGGCTGCAGAAAGCACAAGACCCGGTTGATTGGAGGATCATGGGAGAGGCCTTTGCGCTACAGTGGGCATAGTCAGGTTGATGATGACTTCCCAAACGGCAAAGAAGTCAGCCTGGGCTATATATAGGTTGTCCTGGCTTGCTACTCTGGAGTAGAGGAGGACAGTGAAGCAAAGAGAAAATGAATAGTAATGGCAAAATAAAGAGGGCATATATACAAGTCCATCATGCCCTGACAACTTATGAAACAGTGTGCCTAGCTTAGTGACTTGTGTAAAAGCTATAGCCCGTCACATAACCATGGCATTGTTTGTAACGTGAGGTCAAGGACCAAACAGCTCAATTAATGATGGTCTCTTATTAATGAGTGTGACGAAAGCAGACAGCTTGTTTGTTTCTGTGTGCAATCAGCATGTGCACAAAATACATGCTGAAGCATTTCTAATGGACTAACGTACTAATGGAAAAATGATATGAGAAAAACGAAAGTTGCACTCAGTATTAATCCAACATTACATAACTGATACAATGTGCACTCAGAAGAATGTGTCACTGTCTGGAGAGTCGTTAAATCAGCACAAGTGTTGCTTGAGCGGGAAATCACACAATTGGACAAAAGCTCTCGTGTCTTCACTGCTGCTCTCACTTCAAAACTAAGCACTTGAGTCCACCAAAGTGCAGTCATTGTTTCATACGATGCATGGTGTCACTCGTGGAAGAACTCTTTCAGAAATGTTTGACAATGTATTAGAAAGCTGTAAAAAAATTTATCGGTTCCTTATGGTTTGGTAAGAAGACTTGAGAAGCACCCTGGTTTAGCCAAAGAAGACTTGAGAAGCACCCTGGTTTAGCCAATCTCTCCAGTTACAGAATGGTCACATTTCTTACCTGTATTTCACAATTTGATTTCTGGATATTCTGAGAGCTTCCATTGCTCTGAAGATTTCATCAACCCTCTGAATTACAGTGTCCTCGTCCAGTGTCTCCCCCTCATCTGAAACTGAATGGCATAATTTCTAAAGTAGTACGAAAATTTTGTGGCATTTTACACTCTCAGTAATACTTCAAGACAAAAGTCTGTTATAGAGTTGGTAATGCATTATGTGATTGGCGACCAGATTTCTATTAAGACATGACAAGCCATAGTTTTGTAGACGCATTAAATTGCACTCATATTTTTAGTTAACTGAATTGTCAATAACTTAATTGCATGATTCATCTCCAATCCCCAAGTTTTCTGAACCTCATGCAGCGTAGCACTTTCTCAGCGATCAAACTCTGACCAAGCAATGATGTAAACTGATGATGTCAAGAATTTTTTAGCGCTGTCACAGTATGATGGCATCACATGGTGACATCACAGCATGGCATTACTAGTGATGTAGGCCACATTGGTTTTGGTACCGCTATGCAACAAGACACCCAAAGCTATCCCCCTGAAAGCACTTATGTGGCTTTTCTATACACTACTGTACATAAAGGCTTTCTGACCAGAGCATAAAACAATAGGAGAAATTGCAAAACCACAGAGGAATGAAAGTGTATAATTACCTGAATAACGAAGTTTTTTTTATACCATCAGGATGTCAGAACACCAAGAGACACCTTTATAGATGACCTGGCACACAACGTTATGTTTAGCAATGATCTCAAATGCACTTACCGAGATGTTTGAAGAACTCGGGTAAGTTCTGGTCTGCTGCTGCTTGGTATACAGCTGCTACAATCTCAGCCTGAAACAATTACCCTATGAAATGAGCCACACACAAGATTATCTAACATGTGTTACCTCCTTATTATGCACTTACCTTTAGTATCTGCTTGTCATTTACACTTCCGAGTGTTTTTTTCCCAAATAAAGAATACAAAAGTGCCATAAGAGCCATGATGTCTTCCAGTTGTAACGACCTGGGTATAACAGGACAAAACAGCCATTACAAAGCTGCTTTCCAGATGTGCGACTTGACAATATTTCATGTAGGTCATACTGGAGTAAGCTGGCTCAAACAACATCAAATGTTACTTTTTACAGGACCAGCAAGAGATGATGCTACTCGACATAATGCTGCAATGACTGGACAAGCATGCAAGTGTGGCATTCTGTGTATGTGTTTACTAGTATATTTCAATTTGATCTGCACATTATCCATGAGGCACATTGTTTGGTATTTATTTACAATACCCCGTTTATATATATTCCTCTTTTTGCTTGCTTTCAAGATTGCAATAACAGTAGCACGAGCTGCTTCCCAAGAAACTTCTGGTCACTTCAATTATCGCTACCTAACACTAAAGCAGAAAGCTTGTTTTTTATGTTGTGCTAGGGTAACAAAAAACTGTTTTTCTGCTTTCAGGTAAAAGGAAGGTGCTGAAGGTGAAGAACTAACTCTTATAACGCTGTGTGTAGCTTATAAGAACATCTGTTTGAAATGTTTGGCCAGACACGGAGAGAAAACTGTTGAAAATGAGTGGGCTACTCGTTAAGGCTTTCGTTCCCTGCCAATGCTACTTGGCTGCGTTGGCACACAAAACTGGAAGTCGTCCGGGACCTGTGTTTTTATAAACAGCAAAAAGGTCTGTAGGGGAGAATACATGAACATGCACAGAAGAAAATAAACAAAACTAACACCGGCTCATAAGACGAAAAATAATATAAGTTATGTTAAAAACATATCTAAAAGCATGAAATCAATACATCTTTGGAGCAGAAACATGAAATATAACTCAAACGTGAAGTCTAGACAATATGGTGTTACGAGCATGCTGCGACCCATCACTGTAAAGGCTCCCACAGGCTGTACCCGGAGCCTGACTACCTGAAAAGTGCTACACGACCCACCTTCAGATGCTGAGTGCGTCTGTCAGAGACACTGAGTGCATCTGCCACGGACACTGGGCACGTCCCTCAGAGATGCTGGATGTGTCTTAACCGTGGAGCTGCACCTTCCTCCTCGAGCGTCTCGGCGCCTATAAAAGGCCAGCGCATCTAGCACCAAAGTGCTTTCTCATCCACGTTTTCTACATTCGTTGTAAATTAAATGTTTTGTCTCCTGGCTGCCTTTTGCCTTGTTACTGCCTGGTGCTCCTCGCCCAGTCTCTTGGCTCTCGCTTTAATTGATTGATTGATTGATATGTGAGGTTTAACGTCCCAAAAACACCATATGAATGTCAGAGATGCCGTAGTGGAGGGCTCCGGAAATTTTGACCACCTGGGGTTCTTTAACATGTACCCAAATCTGAGCACCCGGGCAGCCCTCGCTTTTCACTACCCAAGACTCTCTGGGATCTCTTGTAACAACTGGTTGGCATCGGCAGGATTGCAGTGGACCTTGAAACTTGAGCCAGCTAAAACGTGGACAACACAACAGAACCCGTGACTGCAGCTATGTGAGTGTTGGACTTTTCCCTTTTGAGATTTGCCAGGCTTTTAAGAATACTTCTTGAGCTTGAAGCTGTCAGGTATTCTCTATCAATATTCAGTCCCTTTGCGTAATAGCACTTGGTGATAAAGAATAGATAGAGAGAAGAGTTCAAAGTCTGAGCTTGTGGTCATGAATCTCAATTCACTATGCAAGCCTGATTTGTTAGTGCTTTGCACAGAACTGGGAGTGGACATGGGGAATGCCGTACGGAAGCCGCACATCATTAGGACATTACTTGCCTGAGAAGTAGATGATAGCGAGCTTCTAGAATCTTTAAAAATTGTTAAAAAGAGCCAAGTTGAAGTGAAACAGCATCAGGCAATTGAGAAAAAGAGGCGTGCCAATGAAAAAGAGTTTATTGCTTGAGAGTGAATTAAAGCAGCTTGAGCTTCAGACTGAGCTGGCGAAACGTGCGAGTGTTCAGTGAGCAGAGAGAGAACAAACTCGAGATGAAGCTAGTGCTAGAAACACCGAATACACGGCTGAGATTGATGGTAAGAACAGCATCCATAGCCAGTCGGAGGAAGCAATCTGCATATATTGTCTAAAACTGAAATGTTAAATCGGATGTGCTGATTGTGTTATAAATGAATGTTGGGTGATTTCTGTAATGTTTATTCAGTTTTTATTCTTTCATACATTGCTTTGTTATGAATATTTTTGTATGGATTTCAGAGTTGTCATTCTATTATTTGCTGTCATGGGCCACATGCATGTTTCTTTTTGTATTGTCACTTTCCGCTGCCTGTAATTTTTGTAGTTTTTGTAAATTTGTAGTTTAGATTTTTTCTGGGTGAAGGGGCCAGTCAAGCTGTGAAAAGCAGCTTTTTTCCCTTCGCACCAAATCACGTATACAGTGTATTTTCGTGTACTTGTCACGTGGTTGAATAAACTCAAACTCTAAACAGGTTTCACAAGCATGGCCGAAAACGAGGTGAATGAGTCACTCGTAAAGAAAGATTCGACTTCTCAGCGTAGTATAGACAGGATTTCCTTGAGTGAAAAGGAATAGTGCAGACACACTCGTCAAAGCACAGAGTATACAGTCGGAGGTACTTCCATCAGTATGTAATGCTCTAGATGAGCAGAATGTTCGAAAAGTAACGATCAGTTCTATGGAGTATAGCGACAAAACAGACGGTAACAGATTGCTAGCACACAGCTCCTTCAGCGGCAAGAGTGCTGATGAATTTTCTGAGGTGAATGTGGTTGCAGAGGGCACTGCCTCAGAGAAATTTTGTCTGATTGGTTTCGTGCCAGTGGACATTCGCGTGCGGGCAAGGGTTGTTTCAATGTGTCTGTCTCCATACGACAGGGAACAAGTCCATCACATGGACCCTTCCCTCTGCTACCCTGATGATAGATATTCTGTAAAGCGTCCAGGTAGTTTAACAAGGATTTTGACACATGCATCACAAAGAAGTTCCTTAAAAGGGTTTTTTTGTGTAAGCTTGGTTGGACATGCGAAGGGTTTTCGCCACCTGGTTTGGGAAGCGATCACTTGAGCGGGCAGTAGATTCTTCTCCCTCTCGCCTGCCAACTTTGATTGTGGTAAAATGAGCCTGGCAGGTCTTAGGGGGTCCTTGCGGGCATCACTGCGATGACACACACATGTGCAGAGGGCGAGCCCGGATGCCGGAACCAGTCCAGGATGACAAGTGAGCCGGGGCTGACGCTACATGTTAACAGTTGTTCTGGGTGTTTCAAGGAAGAATCACTTCTGATTCTCGCAGAGTGACCCTCTGGACAGTGGCTGTGGACCCTTGTCCATTGGGTCAACATTACCCCAAAGGAGAAGCTGTTACGAGTGTGCTGCGGCCTATCACTGTAAAGGCTTCCACAGGCTGTGCCCAGAGCCCGACTACCTGAAAAGTGCCACACGACCCACCAGTAGTGCGTCTGTCAGAGACATTGAGTGCGTTCGCCATGGACACTGAGCGCGTCCCTCAGAGACGCATGCGTTTTAACCGTCGAGCTTCACCCTCCTCTTTGAGTGTCTTGGCCCCTATAAAAGGTCAGCACATTTAGCGTCATAGTGCTTCCTCGTTCAGATGTTTTGTACATATGTTGCAAATTAAATGTTTTCTTTTCTTCTGGCTACCTTTTGCCTTGCCACTGGCTGGACGCTTCCTGCCCGGTATTGGCCCTCATGACACGCAACTCAAGAGACCGTGGGCCCCCCGTAATAACGGCTACCTGACTGAAGACACACACAAGGAGCACTGAATAAATACCTATGAGTAGTGGGTAGCTGCATATTAATATTATTTTCACACAGATACAAAATGGAGGTATTGTTAAGCCGTTTTTTTATTGAATGTAGGCCATGCAGTATCATAGGAGCACAAATAAATGAATGAATAAACTTGAATGAGGATTTGGTATGCAACTTGTGCTCATGTATTATTTCAAAATTGTACAATAACATCTTCAATTTAGATTAGGAAATGGTATGCAAAGCAAGTGGTACAGCATGTTCATCAGTGCACCTCATCACAGCTATCTATTATTACACCTTGTACACTGCATGATGTCAGTGACTACAAAAACAAGTTGAGCAAGCTGGCTAATGTGATAAGCCATTTCCAACCTACACGTTATGTGCCACTTAGATGGTTCACATGCCACAAGCCCATAACATCACTTGAATAGTTTGTGAGGACTGAAAGGCCTTCAGTACTAAAGGTCAAGGTTAGCATATGCTTTCAGGTCCTTCTCCGTGTGCATGTGTGATTTTCACTGCGATTCAAATATGCATTACAACTAGCCTAAGTATCAGTCTCATTATTCTTCACACTTGGAATTTCTTGATTGTATAACTCTTCTTAGCGTGCACCGATTTATGTTTTTCTTATTCACCCTTGGGATGAAATGACTAGATTCAATGTAAAATTTGTAATGCCAATAATAATTTATTTCGAACCATACAAAATTCTTCACAGGAAAGATAAGCCCACACCTATGTCATGAAGTGGCATGGCTACTACATAATTGCACTACGTTTGAAAGCAGGACATGAATTTTTCCACAGTACATCCCGAGTCTAGAGATCATTGGTGCAAGCAGAGTACCTATATTTTTACGTAGATGTTGATAGAAGACACTTTGTAAATAGTATCATACTTTCTGTGCTCAAGAAGACATATGACTAGAGTGAAATGGCTTGCATAAAAAAATACGAAAACTCCTATAAACATGTTTTGTTCAAGCCTGCAACTGTTGCAACCTTGAAGAAAAGTCTGTTTGTTAAAATGCTGGCTTGAGAGACTCTGTGTTCCAAGAATTTTTTTATCTCTTAGAGATTCCGTCTTCCCCTGTACTTTTACCTTATGCATGGGAGATGTTATTGGTTCAGCCGAAACAAAGAAAGTTTTTATGCGATGGCCACATACGCGGTTCACAAACAGCGATAATATTGCCTCACTGTACATTAACACTGGCCAACCATGGTCAATAATTCGTTACATGTTAAAGTCAACCCAAAACAAAACAAAACAAAAAGAAAAAACACCCAAAATGACACAAAGCAACCACAATATAAAAAAAGAAGAAAAAAAAAAACATGATTGGCAAAACCCAACCAGCAAAACACTAATGCTTTAATAATCATATGAGTCCCACCTACAATAACAAAAAGCCAATTTAACTGCTAATCTATATTGCTCCGTAGAAATGAATTCTACTGGACAAAAGACTACGTATAATTTAAAACAGCTTTTCTTAGTGTTCAGTCAAATACACTCAAACCCCGATAATAACGAATTCAGATGCTGTAACATATAGTCGGTTATATTAAAGTGACCATTAGCTTTGCTATTAATAGCGTCAAAAATAATTGTTTGTAAGAAATTTTCGTGTATAGCACAAAATTCTCGTGCATGTGTATGTTTGTGTGTGTGTATTAGGCTTGTGCAAACATTCGAATGTTTCAAATATTTGAACGAATAATGCAATATTTGAATTCACTTTGAATCAATTTTAAGTTATTGGAAATTTCGATTTATTCGAGACGAACGAATAAATGCATACTAGTCCGCCTGTTACAATCTGTACAGGTGGTTTCACTGCAGCAGAGCTGTGCTAAGCCGTGGAAGCACTTATACAAAAAAAAAAAATTGTAACTTTATGTAAGTTTCACTGCAGTGAAGCGATGCTAAGCCGTGAAAACACGTATCCAAAGAAATCTGCACTGCCACTTCAAGGCGGGACTTCAAGGTTAAATGAAGATATTACCGTCACATTAATACATATTTAAGTTTCTTTTTCAGTTTAAAAGGTCGTTATACCGACTTTTATGCTCTCAGTATAGGAAATTTTAAAATGTATCATATTTTACTAGCTATCATTTTACCGAAACTGGCATTTTACTGAAAGTCATATCCTAATGGTATTCGAAGTTGTTTCCACTTCCTTTGATGCAAAAAAAAATGGCATTTGCACAAGCCTTGTTTAAAAAAAAACATATTCAGCAGGTTAATTTGGTCATGACAAACACCCATTTTTCTTTATAATATATATATATATATATATATATATATATATATATATATATATATATATATATATATATATATATATATATTGTAGCGATGCTGAGGCAGACAGGCTACAAAACAAGCGTCTTTATTAGGG